TTGAATAAGTTATCGTGACACCATGAGGCGTCATAGTTTTCCAATTTCACGCAGTTTTCGTCGTGAAATCGACCAATTTCGGACCATCGCCCACAAAATAATTGATGAAATAGTTTCGGGACCCATCGACAGTAGAAAGGTAGAAACGTAAGGCGAAAATAATGAAAAAACGGCTGTTACGACCCGACCTGATTTCAGTTCAGACTATTTTAAAATGGTAATTTTTTTCGACTTCTTCTTCAAAACCGGTAGTCTGAATGCTTTAATACTTGGTGTGTATGTACCTTGTGTTGACATCTACTAGATTTGTTCATCCCATGGTCATATCTTTAGTTCTCTAATTTTGGCAAATATTTTTGGTTAAAAATGGAATTTCAACTAACCACTATTTCCAATGCTTTGGTGTTAGGCATACATGTGTTTATTATTCCATTGACAACTCTGTGTGCTTGTTTGGCGATATTTCATTTAAAAGTACAAATTTAAACGAAAAGTTGTGGCATATACAGCACTAATCTTTTGTACAATAGCGGTTGAGCAACAGGCCCATTGGCCTTTATTTTATTGAACTTGTTAACTGAAGATGGTACCATTTTGACTTATACTGGTTAACAAATGTTATGTTAAGATCTTTTTCCATGTGCTTTGCTAACTTGGGCTTTTTATTGACAAATTAATGTTCTGTTGAAAGTTGTGACAATCATTTGAGACAAGGCTGGGAAACACCACCACAATATTGGTAAGGTTGCCAGTTTTAAGTGATGCAAACCTTGTGTCACACGCAACGTAATATTACCGTAATTGGTATAGTACAGGTGTGATGGTTCAAATACCAAAATGGCAACAGTAACAGAAAGACTTCCCTGGCGGCGATGATAAAATACGTAGCCAACAGATGAGGTTTCAACTGGTACTGGTATTATTATACTCTGCAAACATCAAGTACAATAAGGCGGTAAAACTCCACTACTCCAATAACTAGATACTTAAACTCCAATACAATTCAACGAGATCTCCGATCTG